TGTCGACTAATACAGAATCTGAAGGAGTTTATGGAGTTTTACCATATATAGCACCAGAAATTTTTTGTGGCTGTCCATATACTTTAGCATCTGATGTTTACTCATTTGGCATAATTATGTGGGAAATTTCTTCTGGAAAGGCTGTTCCTTTTAATCAAGAAAAATCTAGAGTTCAATTTCAGATACAGGTATACAATGGCTTTCGACCAACTATTATTGAAGGCACGCCACAATATTATATAGATCTTATGAAAAGATGCTGGGATGGAAATTCGAAGAATCGTCCACTTGCCGAAGAAATTTTCATAACTCTTACAAAGTGTCAAAATGATGAAAAGATTTTAACGGAGTCGACCAAATTTGATAAAACATTGGAAAATAAGGAAAATTCGACCGTACAAACATGCGCCAAAACAACCTACACAAGTGAATTTATTCCTCACATAAAATCATATTGTCACGGTAAATAATATGTATATTACTTTTTTGGTTTTTTTATTAAGAATGTATTAAATTAACACCAATTAAATATTAGACAGTCAACTACTTGATTTCATTATTGAATAATAATATGGGGATATATTTTAGAGTATTAGACATCGCGTACTACATTTACTTTTAAACTTTCATTATTGATGCAATAAAATCCATCTAAACTTGCATGTGAATCATTTTTTAAAAAAATTAACCAGCATTTAACTGGTTAGGTAGCCTTAGTAAAATATATTTTTTGTAAGTATAATTACTATATATCAGAACGTTATAAAGTATTTAATATAAACTAAAATACAATACATTAATCATTAGGTTATTTACGGGTAAATTTTTAAGAAATATGCTATAAGTAAATTATGGATTAAGTCAAAATCGTAGTTTATTAATATCGGAGCAATGAGCTTATTAAAAACAAAACAACAAAATAATATAGAGATGTTGTATCACATATTTTCTTTACATTATGCAAGTATATAAGCCTCTAAAGTTTAAGTCTAATATAGATATATAGATATAATTCTATATTCATTTATCTACAGCATATATATTTATGTTCTTATGAACATCTTTTTAAGACTTTAATTTCTTAAAAAAGTGAAATTTTAATGCATTATATAAATTTAATTATATATTATCAAATATTATATAAAAATTCAATGAATTTTTTTAAAATTAAATAAATTACATTATCTGAAATGCCAAGATGTAATATATTTGTAAAGGATTTTTTAACAAAATATTATTTGAAACTCTTAATCCAGTATATTATAAAAAAATTGAAACAAAATAACGAAAAATTTTAGAAAAGTATAAAATGCTATTTTATTAAATTCAAGAGCAAATTACTCAAAAGACAAAATAACTAAAATAATAGATTAGGGCATTGTTCAATTGTTATTATCACGTGGTTTATTGTTATTGCTTTATGTTTTATCTTTTTGATTAGTTATTAACAATAAAATTGCATTTGCGTATCAGAATACATTTTATATATTACAATTTGAGATAAAACTATGGAGTGGATATGGAATAAAAAAGAAATGTATGAATGAGATTAAAATTTTTTAGTATTATTTATACATATTTTATTTGTAATATATTAAAATAAATAAAATTTGTAATATATTAAAATAAATAAAATTTGTAATTATTATTGTTGATAAAATAATAAATATAACATTTGTTTATAAATCAATTAATCTCAAATATTCTTTTATTATAACAATCCAAAATATGATTTATTTAATAAATTAATTATATTAAATCACATAAATTAACAACTACGCTTGAAAGAATATTAAATAAATAATTATTTTTGATAAATATACAAATATTACTTTTAAAAAAGTACAATTTAAAATTTTTAAAATCTGATTTATGCAAATATATACTATTTATTAATATATTTAATCAATATTTTATTATTAAAATACAAAACAAAATTTAATTGGTAAAAATAATATATATTGTATTTAATATTAATATAAATACAGTATCTAAATATGTAGAAACTAGTTTATTTTTGTTTACTCCCTTGGTTCCATAGTTAATTTTCTATACAGTAGCGTATAGATCTATAATACCTGTAAATTTAGACATTTAAAAGATTTAATGGATTTGCGTCATATTTTAAAAATTGAGCATTGTAAGTCAAATTGGGAAATTATAACAAAAATAAATTGGGATTGAGTCTTTACATAATTGATTTGGATGTCAACTGTATTTAGATGTTTTCCTTGGCATACATACAGTAATATCTTTTTTCTGACGGTTAATGAAGACTCGGATATGGCATTATTAAATATTAACACGATCAACATATATTGTATCGTCTTCAATTGAACGTTGGTATATTTTCCTTTCAAAAATGATCCGGTTTTACTGTTTTCCAAAATATCGCATTAAATTATTTCAGACTTCACTTTATTGTCTTTTTAGTCGAGTTCTCATATTTGACTTTATTCAGTAATTTCACTACCAAAACCTGTTACTCCCAAATTTCGAAGTAGTATTTAATTACAGATAATGCATACATCTGAGATGCTATAAACTTATCAGAACATAAGTATAAATCCATAACCCCATAATTCTACTTTTTTTTTGTGTTTAGACTTGTCTGCAATTTACAAACTGTAAGGTTTCATTTAAGCTAATTTCCCATCAATGCAATAATGTTTTAGCTCTTCCGATATTTTGAGCTTATTCTACTGTCCTTTGGCTGCATTACTATTGTCAGAGGGTAAAAATAGTGACGCGACTCCAGTCACGTGACTAATCGTCGTGATAGTGCTGTGAAGGACCCTTCCTGTCATGGTACTTAGAGTGGTATGATGGAAAAGTGTAAACAAAAGTGATAAGAAGTAATAAAAATAGTAGTAGAATAGCGTGTTAGAGAGTTAAATAATAAGGGGAGGATCATGAAAACGATTAGGTAATATAAAATAATTGCGACCGAGCATTATGTAATTAGGGAGAATCATGAGAAGACATTAGATAATCGATGTCACCTTTATTTTTCAGAATGTAAAAACTGTCCCAACTAAGATGTATAAAAAGAGGGAAGTAAAAAGTAAATAAAGTACAGAGATTGATTGAATTATCTTTTACTCGACCAAATCGTACACGCCTCAAAATTTCGCCAAGACCGCGACGTTCTGCCCATTTTAGCGACAGACTCGCCGATTGACCGTCACACTATAAACAATCGAAATATTCCAAAGCATATTTGCTTTATTCACAAAAAATAATGAGCCCTTCGATTATAGAAATTTTTTCAAATTTCGTTTATATGGTTTCCATAGCCTTTATAATAACTTTGAATAACTTGACGCCAAACTCTTATTTTTCATTGAGTCAATATAGAGTGTAAGGTTTATTCTTTTTATTAAGACGTAAATACAAAGAAGTTCTCTAAAGCGTTTATTAATTCCTTTGCTCGCAAATAGAATAATGCTAATAAGATGGACTCTATAATACTCGTTGTGTAAAATCGTTTCACTTTAGGTAGGCTGCTCCTCTAGTCAATTCCTTTAAAACTTTAAAGACAAAAACAAGGTTTTAGATTTTTCAAATTTTATGTTTGCTAGCTTACGTAAATTTATATGTAGATTAATAATGTTTCGAAATTTTTGGTATTGCATTAAAAGTTTGTCGAAGTTTTATCGAACAACTAAAATATTTCAACTCTCATATCATCCGCTTCTTCAATAGTCAGGATATATGGGTGATATTTACACTATTGGCAACCCGAAATAACTCTCGCGTTATGACGTTCGTAAGATTTCAAGATAATTATTTTATGACCTTAAATCCTGAGGCGGCTTCAATTTTCCGGCGTAGGTACTTTCTAACCTATATTCAGTTAGCTTTCTTCAAAAGCCTTTGCTATTATGCTATAAATTTCAATATTATTGCCAGTCTCGGTTTCTCCATTAACATCTATCAGATTATAACGATGCTAATACAACTATTTATTCTATCCTATTTATAATCTAGACTTATTTCCCCTTTTTGTTATTGCGCTGCGCATCTGCGCAACACTTTATTCACAAAAACACTGCTGTTTTTCGTTAATCCTTTTATTCTTCGGAAAATATTTTCCATTAACTGTAATGTTATGTTATAGCCCAAAGTATTTACTCATTAAAACATCAAACTATACCATATGCTATTTTTGACTTTATTCATAGTGTTATCAAGCCCGTAGCTCCCTTGGGCTATCGTTAATGTAACACTAAGGCACAGTAGGTTTTCTACTAACGTGTGAAGTGATGTGCAATTGATCAAGCTAACACAAATTATTCTCTCTTTTTATATATCGCGTGTTACTTATTTGCATGATACATTATGAACAAAGTCTAATATTATGCGAATAATTGGCCCAATGACATACTTTTTAATGCTTTAATATTTTTTCTCCAAAACTATTATTCAAGGTGAATATAACAGCAACTTACTGTTAATTTAGCCAAATACAATATCTCATAAATTCGAGAAAAAAATTACATCAGTGGTTACACTAGTGATGATAATCAATGAAACACATTGACATTAGCAAATAGGGTTTTCAAATTAAAACAGGTTAACGCTGCGCGTCTTTGTACAGTGCATATTAGATGATTTTTCGAAATTAGAATGGCATGAGTTACATCTGGGCATAGAATAAATAGTTTTGTAGAGAAATAAGCTATAATTTATTTTATCAGGAATTTCGGATGCGCACCATTCAATAACGGTGCGTGCATTTGGTCGTAAGGACTAAGGGTTTGTATATAGGAATTAGGGAAATCTAACTCCGCTGACTAATTTCTTGACATTTCTCGTCTCTGATTTACGACCATTCTTTCATGATTTCCATTTTTGACTAATTTTTATGATACCATCGAAGTAAAGATCAATTACAGAAAGGCCAAGGCAATTTGATATAAGTACTTGTACTGTAGTAATCGAGAACAATTAAAAATCAAAAAATCAATCCTGATCTACCGAAAAAATTTTCCTTCAAAATGTCTACAAGGGTAATCTCATTTAATGACCTTCGACAGGAATTCAGATTAAGTGTTATAAGATTACAAGCAGATGCCAAGAGCGAGTTTGAACGAAAGGTATTACTAAAATATATTTATAACAAACGTTTACATTATTGTATTATATCTCACTATGAATGTATATTTCAGGCGGAAAAAATTCAGGAAGAAGTATCGGAAATGAACGAAGATGAGATAGAAGACTATGTTCGTGGTAAATTTCAAAAGCTTAATTCTCTATTTCTTGAGAGATCCATTGATTTGGAGGAATACGTAATCGGAAAGAAACCCCAAAAGCCGGTTAAAAATCCCGATGAAACTAACGAAGAATATCAGGAAAGGAATAAAGGTAAATATTTTTATTGACAGCAATGACAAATTATTATTATTACATTTAATTAATTTATGTTAATAGCATACGAAGATGACCTTAAGTCGTATAAAACATTTACTACTTGGAGCATGAATATTATCGAACGACTTACGGATTGGTTATCTGAACTCTTCGATGAAATCATGAATTTCTTTAAAAATCTCTGGATATTGATTAAATGCAAGTTTCAAGATATTTATACAAGGTAGGTAAATAATGTGTGATTTTTTTAACACTCTCAGTTCGATAAAATTAACCTTATCTTCTTAGTGTCCGAAACTTTGTGGAAAGAATTGCGGAAAAATTTAGTCAATTGCATAAATATCTTTTCAGATAAAATAAATTCTGCACTGTATTCAAACGTATTTTGTTGTACTGTACTATACGTGTAGCATAAATCATTAAGTTTAGCAAGATTGACGAAGAATATAATAAATTTTTATTATATATCAATAATCAGAATCATAATACTGCATTGCATTCTTTGCAAGTAATTACATGCAAATCCCGAATCAACACTTTTTTTCTATTGAAGTTTCTAATAAACATAACGATTCGGTGATTTTGGCTAGCGTGTATAATATATGATCTAAACTTATATAGATCCATGTCCGTTAATTTTTAAAATAAAATAATACATTTAGAATGTAAGTCAAACTAAAAGTTTTTATATAAATTATTTTAAAACATAAATAGCTAAAAATATCTTATTTATATTTATTTGCGTTTGATATTATAAATTTATTAAAGTACTAATAGTTTATTTAAAATTATCAAACAAATGTCATACCAATTTCTTTTGAATCCATTACAATTTCCAACCTTAAGATGAAAATCAACAAAATCCAACCTATTAACTGTTCACATTTCATGATAGTCAATAATTAATCATCTAGACACGCTTATTGATACCTCACCAAAATTACGTTTTCTTTCAATAATATGTCTAGTTCTTATTTTTGACCAATTAAGTTTAAAAGAAGATTCAGGAATAATAAACATTAAACAATATAAAACCTTTAAAGAGGACAGAAAAACTAACTCCTAATAACAATCAAATACTGATTCAAACTTTTGACTTAATAACTTTTTTCTCAAATATTCATCACATTTTTTAAAACAATAACAAATTAATTTTAGAGACTATATCTTTTTTGGCTTTTTTATACAAAAAATTTTTTTACATATATATACCAAAAGAAATTTATCGATGCTGAATATAACTTTTAAGAAAATATAAAATTAAATGCAAACTTCACTTCATTAATTTTGTAATTGTTATTTATTTACTTATTTATTATCTGCACCATACTTTTAATAATTATTTCAGAACTATCAAACACAATAAAATTATATTCTGTAAACTTGTCAATTTGTTGACTTATCTAAATAATTGTTTTATTAAAACCAATTTGTGGCTTTAATATTTTTCTCTTAAAAATAAATTAAAAAATATTTTGTTTTTAATATATACTTTAAATTTGAAAATTCTATTGATTCTTATTTTTTTAAAAAATCATATTTTTACTTAAAAATTCTAATAATTTTTCAATTAAAACACAAAGAATATTTTTTATTTTAAAAAATAAGCTCAAATTGATTTTCTAATCTTAAAAATCTTAATAAAAAATAAAAAATATCATTAAAAATTTTTTTATATACTTTATTTTTTTCTTTTCAAAAAATCTTATTTTAAAATTTGAAATTTTAATTCAAATTAAGCTTAATTTGGATCAAAATTGCATACATATAATTTAAAATCTTTATAAAATCTTTTCATGACTTGTTTTCCCAATAATATTTATAAGCATTATTTATATAGTATATATTTTTTAAAAATAAATTATTTTCTTAGAAAATTCAATTTTTTAAATTTTGATTATTATTTTTTTATAATAAATAAAACTTTCTTTTAATAAAATTAATATTAAAATTAATATACAGTATATTGTTTGTATTATTTCAACAAGTTTGTTATTAACTTGAGATCAAACTTATATAATAAAAAGATAGGTTATAATTTTTTTTTATTTAAAATATGAACTTGATCTAATTAAACTTTAATTATTACTAATATTATCTTTCTTTTTCTCTTGTACTATCTTATTTAAATAATTTAAGCTACAATATAATTTTTAAAAATTGAAAAATATATAAAGACTAAATTATAAAAACGATCTCTATAGATTTTTTCTATATAATAAAAATAAAGCCAAATTTGAAAATATGTTTGGCCTTAATTAGAAGTTTTATTCTAATACAACAGTAATTTTTAACATTTATATATTCTTGAACTATTGAATTATACTGCATGACATAAAAGAAAGAATAGAAAATACTTTTCAAAAAAATTGCTATAAAAATTTTTCTTAAAATTAATAATAAATAAATGAGTTTTGATTTAATTAACTTTTAATATATTAGAAATTAATATCAAACCAATTTAAATTCTTATAATTTAATTAGAAATAACAAGTAAAAAGAATTTTTTTTTATTTTTTGAAGTCCCAATTCTATTTTATTTAATTAATTGAATTTTTTATCTTAATTTACAAGCTAGTATAATTACTAAACTTATACAAAAAAAATCATATTTAGATAAGAAAAAAAATAACAAAAAAACACAAATATTTAGAAAAAATAATTATTTTATTAATATAAAGACAGAAATTCAATTTGAATTTTTACAAAAATAAAGAAATTTTCTTTAAATATTTATTTTTTAAATATAAATATTCTATAAAAATTTATAAATAAAATATATATTATTAATAAAAAAATATTGTAAATACTCTTTTTACTAATCCTCTTGCCAATCCTCAAAAACAGATATTTCAGAGAAATTTTATATTTATTTGTAACAAAATCTATATACTCTCTTTAACAATATTATTATTCAAAAACTTCAGTCTTTCTCTACTTGTTTCTTTCTTTTTTTGAAATAAACTTTTTATATTTTTGCAAGTAAATACAAAAAAAATCTACCTACAAAATCAAAGGCAAAACACTTTGTTAAAAAAAAGAACCTGTAGAAAAAATATCTTTTGCCTTTTTTACAGAGGTTCGAGACTTTAGAAAAGATTATTATAGACTTTTAAAACTTTTTTTTAATCTTTTTCAAGTTTCTCTTCTATTTTTTCAAGTATATAAAACTTTTTTTGATTTTTTTGAAGAATTTAATCTACTTCAGTTTGATTTTGAATTTTTGATTACACAGGAACTTTTGTATAATAATTGGCCAAAAATTTGGATTGGTTGATCAACATGTAGCAAGAAATATAAACAAGATATATAACTTCTACATGTCTCTTTTTATATAACAATAAATTCAATGATGCCATTAGTTATAGTAAAAAAAGCAAGGTAATAAAGCATCAATTTTGTTAAGATATATTATGGTACATTCTCTCTTCTTTTAGACTGGTTTCTTTTCTCTTCAAGATAAAAAAAAGTCTTATTTCAATTCAGTAACAAGCTTCTTCTATTATTGATTATCTCAAGAAAGTATTAAGCAATAATTTTCTAAAGTGTAAGACTTGTTTCAAGTGATAATTTCTTAAAAGTATAAGACTTGTAATAAGTATTTTGAATATTTTTAATTAGTAGTGAAATAGTAGAAATTAAATAGTTTGCCAATTTGCAGATAGGGATAAAGGATTTATCCCAATGAACAAAAATTAATATTGGGAAATTTTTATTTATCAGAACAAATTTTTCAACTAATCTTTTTATTTCACATTGTTTTTTTAAAAAATAATATTTTTTTACCTCTTAAAATTACACATTTATATTGGAGTAACAGTTTAAATGTAGGCTGGTTTTAATTTTTCAAGAATAGACTTTGATACCTTTTTTGAAAAGAAGCAATTTTTATTATTTCTTACAATTACATCTAGAGAGTTCAGATTTAGAAAGTCTAAAATAGTTAATATTACATAAGAATCATAATGATTCTTTTCGATTCTGTATTCAATTCTTAAGTTTATATTAAACTTAATAGGTGGAATATACTCCATCATCATTTTTAATAGTGTTTTGAATCTTATGCAATTATTTGAAATTCTGTTTGATTTCAATTTTTAGAACCATAATATTATACAATAATAGCTTAATAAATCTATTTCTTTGTAATGAGATAGTTAATAAATAGCTAAATTATATAGAAAATATAGTGGTCTTGGTATTAAGGATTTAAAGATTATATATAAGTCTAAACTTATTAATAAGTATTCTACAAAATTGTGTTAGTTTAGCTTTAGTATAGTATCATATACAGTATATTGTATTACTGTTTTCTAAAAATTAGATTAATAAATGCTTATATTTATAGTCTAATTAGAGACTAAATATAAATATATATGGTATATACAGTATATATTATTAATATATAAGTTTTTTTAGTTTTTTTGAAAGATTTTATATATTATAAATATAAAATATAAAAAAATTGTAATATAATAA